CAAGTCCAGGAGCATAATGACTTAATCAAATGAACTCAACCTTATAGTCCATAACAAACATGCTACTCTGCTCCAGATTCTGAAACTCCTAGTGCCGCTCCTGCAGATATCTCTCCCCGATGTAGCGACTCCAAAAACGTGTCTTAAAAAGATCCCATGTTAACTAGTTCCTTGGAATACTATTAGAAATCGATTACCACCGTCTGAAGCTCTCTTTCTTCAACACAGTTAGGGCCCTCTTTAACTTCTGCTCAGGCCTCAGATCCATCTCATCCATAATCCTCTCTGTGTCCTCCAGCCAATACTCAGCATCTATCGGAGGTCCCCTAGTAATTCCCTCAAAGAGAACTACTCCAGCAGCTACCAAAGAATTTGAAATCTCGACCGCATTCATATTACTAGGGGCTCTAGCAGCTCTCTAAAACATGCGAAAGATAGCTCTATTAATGGCGTCTTTGTTCATGTCAGTATCTTCATCTTCAGTGACGGGAGAGTCTCTCACAGGAGTAAACTGATCATCATGAGAAATGGTCAGATCTATATACGGAATAGGAGGATCACGTGGTGACATCAGATCGTCTATCGTAACAGAAGGTCGAGTGACTCGCCCTCGACCACGACCACGTCCTGTCCTACGACCTCTGGCAACACTCATCGTTTGATATATAAGGCTCTACAGAAAGAATTTGAAACATATGTCAGATTAGCATCAGGGATCTCGAGAAAAAAATTAATTCATAAAATAAAGTGACACATTTCTTTTAAATTTCTTAAAAATCCAGAGTTTAGGACTCATCCACAGTCCGAATATTTAAAATCGAAAGCTCTGATACCACCAAATGTAACCCCTAGACCCAGCCTGAACGCTAGACCCAAACCTAAGTGGTCACATATCTCATTCAGAGATTCTTTTTATATTTAAAACAACATATAAAACATTAGCGGTAATACGGAACAAAATATCGATAATACAGATATATCCAAAATGATATCAAAATACATGTCACCAAATACAACTGGAAAACATATAGAGATATATGTTCGTACAAAGTAAAAGTAGTTAATCTCCCCTGATGCCAAATCTGCTAATTTACGGTCTGCTGTGATCTGAAAAATGGTAAAATTTACAAAATGAGCTAAAAAGCTCAGTGTGCTCCATACAGTGTATAAAAACATACTAATAAAATTTTTCAATAAAATCGGTTTATGCAACATGTTTTGAAAACATGTACACTACCTCCATCATTTCACAATCTGTTTGTGTAGGTTCCCCAGAACCATACACCCAACCCACACAACCAGTAAGGCCCTGAGCACAAAGCCGATGAACCTGCAGATATATTTCCTTCAATAATACCCCCAATGACAGAAATGAACATGAATATATTCGAGTGAAAACAATGATTAATTCTTTAAACATGAAAATGTTTCATACTTGGAAACCATATACAGAAATTCGAAAATCAAAAATCAAATCAGTAATGTACGATAATTCAGATGTCGGATAATCAGTATTCAGAAATCGGTACAAAATACCGTAACCAGAAATCATATCAGAAATATGCGGTAAATCAGATATCAAATACACATTATTCAAATATATATTTTAAAACAGTAATGTAACACTGTCAGGAAACACACCTGTAACAGTCTGAGAAATCAGATAGGGAAGCCTACTACTGGGTCTGTCGATCAAGCTCTACTGCAGCGTTAGATCTTACGAATAAGAAAAATCCATATTTGAATCCTAATATGAATAATCTTAACCTTTATTTAAATAATTTACGGAAACATACGGGTAATTCTCGTAATACGCAGTTCGGGCTGATCTGACGAACGGACAACACCGAACCTAACTGATCATCGCTCAGCTGAAACACGAGTACCTTAATAAAATATCTTATTGGATTAATTCCATAACCATATCTCAAATAAATAATCAAAAATGCTAAAAATACTAAGCATTTTGGGCTAACGAGCTTAATTCGGGGCTTTCGGGTTAGAATTTGGCAAAACGGACTTCGGAATCAGATTCAAGACGTCGAAAAACATAAAATATGACTTTTAAATTTTTTAACTTTTTGGTCAAAGTCAAAGTTAACGGGTTTAACTGACAATTTCAAGGCTACCGAGTTCGAATTTTAAAAAACGGACTTTGAATTCGGGCTCAGGACGTCAAAAAATCTAAAATATGATTTTTCAAAAATTTTGACATTTTGGTCAAAGTCAACTATCAAAGGTCAACGATCGGTTAATGGTTAACGGTAAACAGGTCGGGTTGGGCTAACGGGTCGAATCGATTCGGACCGGTCAAAGCTGACCAAACTGATTTCGAAGCTCCCCCACGAGTAGGGGCACGTGTGTCGTCCTCTAGTGTCCTAAAAATCACGGAAAATTTTCCTAAAATTATTTTAAGCGATTTTGAGGTACTTACAAAGTTCAGCTCACAATTTTGAACGGCAGAGAGCTCAATTTCAACAAATCCGAAACTTTGACCGCTTGACCTCCCTCACGCGCCGCTGTCGACAGAGACAATGAGGACATCGACGAACTCGAAACGACACAATGAACACGATGGTACGGGAGGTGTCGAAAACGGAGCAACGATCGGCGATGAATTTAAGATTTTACCGACGGATGTGCTAAAAAAAGCCGAAACTTTGAATCAAAATTCATGGCGTTTAACAGCGTTTAACTTCAATTAATTTAAGGGGTGTGTTCATCGCTCGATGACGAACACGATGGTGGTTTTAAATTGACGATCGGTGGTCGGACGACGTCGGGATCGTGTTTGAAAGTTGGGCGTTGGAGGAGGAAATTTTAGCAATTATGCTTTTGAGTTACCCCGCAATTCCAATTCATCACGTTTAATAGAGTGTTTGTCGATACTATTTGGGTAAATTCAGGGCTTGATTCCTGAATTTCCTTTAACTCTAAAACAAACTACAAATTTTAAAAACTTTCAATTTAATCCTCAAATTTTACCAAATTACTTAATTAATTTTTTTTCCAATTTTCCAGGTTGTTACAAACACAGCCGCCTTCCTTTTATCTAAGTCTCAAAAGCACACAATCTATTCTGGTAATGAATATGAATGAATATATGAAATCCACATCTATTAACACAATATGCATTATGGTTTCTGTCGAAGTTTGGTTTTCATTTGATGACACTCGCTATCCTTTTTTCTCTCTCAATTGTTTGGGGATTGGGTGGGAAAGGAAGGAAAGAAATGTCGGAAAAATAATGGATTTTTTTAATAATAAAATTATGATTTATATTATATTTCATGAATCTTTAAAATGACACATAATATGCTCAAAATAATCAAGTGATGAATGAAAAATTGAAGCTCAAAATAAGTTATATGCAAATGTTATTAAAAAAATGTTATCTTAAAACACTTTTACCCCAAACTTTCCTCCGCTCGCTAACTGTAGAAACGTTGAGCTACCTCTGTACCTAGATAACCCTGAGTTACCTTCGAAGGGCGTTGAGTTGCCTTTCCCCCAACTTACGATCACGTATTAACCCAAAGGGCGTTGAGTTCCTCTTACCGTGTAAGATAGGCGTGGAGATACCCTCTTTGCTCTGGGTTTACTATGGTAAAAATGCCTCAATTCTACCTGTCGTGTATAATACACGTGGAGATGCCTCCGCACCCACGTAGTGTGTTGCTGGAAACTAGGTAGCCTTCTTTACCTGGACGGACAATGTCGAGATGCCTCATGCTCTTCTCAGACTACATAATCACATCCTAAAACGACATAAGAGTCAAGGGCCTCCACTCTAACGGATTGTCAAGATGTCCCCACCCCAGAACTGTTGAGATGCATCCAGAACCCCAAGTTCCCCAACTAATGTAGTGATGCCTCTCACTCTTGTTGATACAGCTCGGAGTTTCCTCCAAAAAATATTGAGATGCCTCCGATAAAGCATTGAGATGTCTTTGTTCTGGCAAGGGGGAAGTTAGTCTATCACATTTGTTTTCACCACGACAAAAACACCTCTACCCTACAACTGGATCTCTCCAAGGGTGATGAGATGCTTCCTGAACGAGGAATTTGAGAAACATTCGCCATATTGCTACAGTAACCTGGTCGCGCTACGGACGATGACTTCTCGTCTAAATTAAAAATCGTGAACCGCCAGCACCCGGAGCAACAAAATTGTTTCAATCGACTGTTCTCATTTTAAAAGGATACGCTATGCAACCAATTATTTTGTTCGAAAAAATATTTTGTATCATACTATACCATCTTTGTGTCACATGGTTTAAATTGATGTATACTTATTACAAGGTTTGGCATTTTAATAGTTCATGTTATATGAGTTGAGAAGTGTGGTCGTGGGATCGAGTCTCACTGAGGGCAATTCATAAAGGAGGTCTTCCACATAAGATGCTCTCAACCTGACGTTGGGGTAACCTACTATCCTATCTCCCCCATATCGCATTATATATGGGAATAGGGTCAACTAAATTTTATGTTATATGAGTTGACTCATTCGTATAACTTCTTATCATGTGCCATGTGTGCCGTACTGAGTTGTAATAACAATCTCAGGGGAATTTGAAACCAAAGCTTAATTTACAACTCCCTTGTTGAGATACAATATTCAGATAACTCATTGAATTTTATACACAACTAAAATAGATAATCAATCAATCATTTTGCTTTATGAAACTAAAATTATGTAATTTTTATTGTAGTCACACCTCTTACTGAAAAGTGGATGAACAGATCCTATTCACCAAAATTATTAAAATATAGCTATGCAAGTTCTTTTCATCCAAATAAATTTTAATCAGCTGACACTTCAAATTAATGCAAAAAGACCCACAATTTTACATAGATTATAAACTAACCAGTTGAAAAGAAATGACATTTAATTTTAATCAGCTGACACTTCAAATTAATGCAAAAAGACCCACAATTTTACATAGATTATAAACTAACCAGTTGAAAAGAAATGACATTTACAACCCACAACAGAAGAGGCAAAATATCCAAAATTGCAACATATAGCATTAAGTCCAAGAACACTCAGTTTCATCATCGCATTACCGATTGATAACATGAAAAAAGAAGCCATAAAACTAAAATTGAAAAGTTGCAAATTCCCTAAATGATAACAAATTCAAACCTTAATCGATACTCTGCATTATATCCTCAGCAGAAAATTTAGTACCCTTATCCTTCTCAGCAGCGGCACGTCCCTCAGCCTTACGATCCAGCAACGACTTCCGGTCCTTGTCGAGTCTCAGCTTGGTGATAACACACTTCGATGGGTTGATCCCAACGTTGACGGTCGAACCGTTCACTTTCTCCCGCGTGATGCGCTCGATGTGAATCACCCATTTGCGACGGTACACTTGCACAACTTTCCCTTCGCGTCCTTTGTAGGTACCACGAACCACTTGGACCTCGTCGTCCTTACGGACCGGCATGGACCGGACATTATACTTGGACCTCAGATCGGATGACAGTGGTGCGCTCATCAAAACGCGGCGGACGGAAGAGGGTGCCGTGAAATGGACCTTGCGGCTCTTGCGTCTAGACGAGGAGACTCGTGGGTTGAACTTCATTTTTGCCGCCGGAGATTGAGTTTAGGATTCCTCTTCGACTAGGCGACGGCCAATGGTGAAAGTGGAGAAGTAGGGTTTGGTGAAAATATATGGTGTTAAGAGTGGCCTAGAGAACTAGGGCTAATTTGGTATTGTTATCATTTGGGCTTTATGGGTCTATATAGTTTTTAGGTAGGCTTCCATCTTTGTGACCCAACTTTATTTTTGGCTTTTTAGTCTTTTACAATTTTAAAATATCTTTATGGTACATGTATCTCCGTAAAATGTTAAATGTGGTACATGTACTTTTAAGATGTCCAATATAAAACATACCCTTTGATAAAATATATAATATGATACTTATATTTTAAAATATTTAATATGATAATTGAATTATCATGAAATGTATTATTATAGTACTTATGAATTTTCATTAATTGAATTAACACTTACAATGATAATCTAAATACCATAATGATATATAAAATTACTTATTAAACATAACACTTACCGGTGGTGTTAATTCAAATACCATAATAATATACATAATGATGATAGTTTAAGTACTATATTAAACACTTTAACAAAGTATAAATATTATATTAGAGTGTTTTTTTTCTGTTGGCTTTAAGTGGAAGGTTATTAGCGAATACGGAGCGTATTCATCGTCATATGGCCAGAAAGAATGTCGTATTTGCAATGCTGGTGATAAGGACGTAGAATATTGTTGGAAGGAAAATGGAAAGTCATGATTTCTCAATTCGGAGAACAAAAATTCAATGGTTGATATATTTGCAGCAGTGGAAGACATGTTAGAGAGTTTCTTTTTATAAAATCGCGAATTGATGTTGATGCATTAGTTATTTTAGAGGCTACAATTAGTAACCAAATATTAGTGTTGTCGAATATTAACAAAAAATTAATATAAAATTGTTCAAACAAAATAAATTATTTTATCATAATTTTTACAAAATATTAAAATTGATACAACTATTAAATATTTTATATATATGTGTTGTGTGTGAGAATTAAAAAATTACATAAAATGCTATGAATAGTTTTCAGAATAATTTTTATTTTTTAAAGAAATCACTAATTTTATTCAAAATAAGAAATACTCTAAATTACAATAAAAATGTATAATCATAATCATCAATAAACACATAATTAGGACAATTCGTATAACTAAGAAAACTCGAACAAAGATAGATACAAATATATCTGGTCTCATCGGAAAATGAACCACAAAAGACAATCAATCTATTGAAAGATCACCAACAAATCACAAATCAAATTCGAACGACGTAAAAAACTATCCACGAGCATATAATGAGAATCCAAATCCAATCGAAGGGTCCAAACAGAGAAGATCAACATTATAACAAATAAGCATCATCTTATCAATCGTGACGTTATCTAATCAATACTTAAAAAAGTGAAAACAATGATCAAACGGTCGAAAAACGTGTCAAAAGACAGAAAAAACGTGTCATAAATGCAGAGGAAATAAAACATGCCATACAGACAGACTTATTGAAAATAAAAAAATAAGAAAAAATAAAAAGAAAATAAAGAATATCGATGGTCGGCAACTAACATTAAAGTTGATGGCACTCCCGATCAACAAAAAGAAAAAGAAAAAGAGATGATCGACTTACTAATGAGAGAAAACTAAGAGGAAAAAACATTAAAAGTATAGAATAATTTATAATTGAAAACAATAAAAGGATATAAAAGTTTTTGTAATCTATATTTTAATTAAATGAATATTTTGTAACTATTTTACCTAATGTCACTAACTCAAATACTCAATTATTGATTGATTGATTTACATAATATTTTAAATGGTGAAATAAAAAAAAAACCCAGAGAACTATGTATTTATAAATTAAAAGAGTAGTTAAGAATGATATGAATAGTTTTTAGAATAAATTTATTAATTAAAATAATAAAAGATAGAAATATTTTGTTATCCCCTCATACCGATGCGGATAGCCCGATCCGATCTGGAGTGTCACATTAGGCCATCGGAGCGACCTACTGTAAAAATAGTGAAAAAATTTAAAACTTTTCTTAAAATATGTAAAATCATAAAATGATTTATTATTATTCAGAAATTAAACAGGTTTTTCAAACTCATATATAAAACAAAATACAATCTACATGCCCCTTAATCACATATACCATACTCTGCAAACAACGCCAGAAGAGCTCCCTTACTGAATTCGATAGATGCACTGGTACAATTCTTTTAACCTGCAATGGTGAGTAATAGAGTGAGCTTCGGAAAGCTCAGTAATACAGAACTACCAGATGATGCTACATGACATGTAGATAAATGGGAAGCCATAATTTCCTTATTGAATCAAACGTATACCAATTGTGGAATAATCTCGGGTTCCATTAGTAGTTCATCGGGTAGAAGCCATGAATCTCAGTTCATAAGAAACCATTCATACTATCACGTTTTCATGAGGTCAAATAGGATGCCTAGTGTGTTCCATCAATACGATAAAACCATAATAGGTACACTAATCAAATGATAGTTCAGTAAAATCCCATAAACCATACTGTAGTTGAGCTTTTTAAACTCGTATTTTAAAACCATCTTACAAAGAATTAACCTAAGGGAATATCTTAGGGCTTGAGAGCCTACCCAAGATAGATTTCGGGCCCGTGGGGCCTACCTAAGAACACATCTTAGGGCCGTAGGGACCCGAGAATGATCTCAGGGCCGCAGAGCCTACCTAAGAGTCACATTAGGTCCATAAAAATTTTCCAGCTTGATCAGAGCTGTAATTTACAAATCTGTATCTCCAAGATATATTTTATACAATGATACAAATCCATTAAGTCGGTGCATCCATAAAACAGTAACCATAGATTTCAGTGTACCACATGTTAAAACAATAAAACAATTTTTCAAAATATAAGGAACACACTAGAGAATCCAAATATTTTTCAGATGTATTTTGTAGTTATCAATATGGATAACATGAACTTGTGCAATTTGATCGGATTCCAGTAATAAGATCTTATTGAAGAGAATCGATTTCTAACCGATCTAATCAGACATTTCAGATTGATACTTTAGAATTCCACTAAGTTTCTATGTGCACCAGGAAAACGTTCAAGAACCTTTATACATAATAATTCTAAATTCAGATTTACTGCGAGTGATTCCATTACCCAAACAATCAGGGGTATTCAGAAATATACTTTGAATTCATAGGATTTCAGCCCAATTGAACCAAATGAGGTATTCCGAATCTTTTCCTTCTACGTTACTTGCGTTTTCAAATATGACCGAAGTGATTTTAGATGAAAATATAGAATCAAAGATTCAAGTCATTTACAATCTATGACTATCGACCGTTTATCAAACAACTCGAGTTACACAACTCTCAATCTGATGCATGTCAACAAGTCAATTCATTATCCTTCTAGTGTATTCACTCTTTAATACCATAAAGCAGATCCATAGATCATCCCCTTAATCATCGCTGAATAGATCTCCCAACTGTCTTTATTTCATTTCCATGTTTCAACGATATCAGGAAATACAGACGTACTTGATTCATTGTTCATAACCCATAAAGACAATTCATCATGTAAGTTCAACAGTGTTTCCAGACTCATCCAAATCACTTATTTAATCCTCATTCATTGAGGTTATTTAGTTCATTTAACAATCATGTCTATTCTTGTTACTTCAGAGTTTTCCAGAGTAATTCAGACATTTCTGAATTCCAAATACATATTGCATTTCCATTCAGTTCAATTTAGTCATATATTAGAGTCATTTTAGTATTCGTGGTTGATTTATCTTACGGATATCCATTACTTACTATCGAATATGCTCTAGCATTGAGTTGAGTACTTCCAAAATTATCATCAATTCAAACTTGAGGAAATGAACAAGCATTCAAGTGGTTCATATGCCATTCAAGTATTAATACAACACTAGCATTGGTTGACCGGCTTAAGATGCGATCTATAACCTTTAAGAGCAAAACAACATCCATGTTTATTTAAATTTCTTAAATAATCCAAGACATTTACTTAGTCTAGGACAAAAGGGTATTTTGGTCCTGTTTATGCTCAGTGATCTTCCATTCATTTCAAAGCTTGAGGATATCCATTCATTCCTAGCTTGGTGATATTCTTTAATCATTTCCATTACAGGGGTATTTTGGTCATCTTACAGATCTAGAATATTTCAATCATTTTCTCCGTCCAGTTTTATTATTTAATTCAAACTTATCATTTATGGCAGTCCCTTCGAACTATTCCGACAAAATATCATCATCGATAAATTATTATTCTTCATGTACTTACTCAAGTCGGAGATTTCCAGGTTAAATGCCTTCTCAGATGTTACTAACGGATTATCAAAAATTTTCCATACAAAAATAGAATCTCAACAATCAAATCAATAATTTATCAGTTTAAAAACAAATTCTCATGTTACTTTCTCATTCAGGGTCAACTTGGACTATTTTTACCTCTCAAGGGCATTTTCATAATTTCTTAACCATATAATTTCGGTATTAATTCTTAACGAAAATAATTATACTTTACAGATCCAATGGTTAATTGCTTTCCCGAACATTCTTTGATCTTGAAATGATTCCTTAACAAACTTATAGTATTTTGCACAAACTCTTTTGGGGTTAAAAACCAGTTATTCAAATTTTCTAAGCAAAACTAGCATTTCTTTTGCACATATGTAATTTTATCGGATCAATATGTCTTTTTAGAGTTATTAACCAACTTCCAGGAACAATTATTGTCATCTTACAACATAAGGGTATTTTCGTAATTTTACCCTACCGAAGTATTCTCATAATTTCCCATCCAAGTACCTTTAACATTTAACCTTTGATTATATAAAATATAAGTTACAAATCCATGGCTGATTTCTTTATCACTATTCACAAACTTATAATTTAATTCTAACAATTCCTCAATCTCTTCTTATATTAGTCATTCGATCCGTATTCAGTTACTGAATTTCTACCACATTCATATCGAGTGTATAAATTAATCAACTCCACAAAAGTGACCAACATTATCTTATTCATGCATTTACCAATATCAACATGTTCCATAAAGCATAAAGAGGTAGTAAAGTATTACCTCGATTTTTGTGTCATACTGATCGACCATATAAATTTTGTTCGAACGCCCTCGATCTTTAATTCAACTTCCAATAATTCCTCAAATATATAACAATAGAACTTTCATAAAAAATGAGGCTTAATTATGAAAAACGGATCGAATCGGGTGATTAATCAATGAAAAACAACTTACGGGGTTCTAATTTGGCAATACAGACTTCGGAATTGGACTCAGGACGTCAACAAACCCAAAATATGACTCTTGAATTTAATTTCACCAACTTGATTTCTAGTTTCCAATCTTTTTCTCACGAACCAGACCATCAAAATTACTAACTCGTATCCAAATAATTTCCCTTGCCATAAATATAGCTTATTAGAATTGAAATAATAATTTGGAAACCCAATTTGCATAACTAAAAACTTGAAGAGCTAGTAATATTTAATTACTAACATCATGTACTAAATTGATCTTGTAAAAACTATAATGTCATAACTATAACCACTTGAAAATTAAGAGACAAGGTAAATATCTCACCAAACTTGGATGACATACCTTGTGGTTTACCCCTTTTTGCATGTCATCTACAATTCCCCACAACCACGTGAATTCTTTCATTACTCCCTTTTCACTTTTCAAAGCCATGTGCACTCTGAACCAATTTACATTTATTTATTAATTTATTTGTTTTCAAAATCTCCATTGATTTTGATCTACGAATTATTCTACACAAATTCAAACATTTCTCACCTCTCTTCTTTTACGCAGGTTAGCCATGGACCTTATGCATCATTCATCATCCCCTTCATTCCCGTCGACAACCACCGCCTTCCACTAACATACGCCCTTTTGATTCTTAACCTGAGCCATAATATAATCTTTCAGTTCAAGAACTAGGAGCTGCCGACGTCAAAATTAGGGGGCAGTAGCCACACAGATCCGACGACCTCACTTCCAGGCCAGTCGTGACCTCAAACGGTCGAAAAAGGCGGCGAATCTGAAACAGAGTTGCGACAGCAACAACCCTACGCTGTCGTACTTCTTTCGTATCTCGTCAGCATCGTTCACCAACGCCAAGAGTATAGGTGGCACAAGGGGAAGACAAGTGGCACGGTACTTCTCATCCCCCGACAACATTTCGTTCATGTCGAACTTCAATAAAATCACGACCTTGGTTCCGTTCGCGAGCTTCCCGATGTTAAAAGCTCCGAATCCATATATGTAAAACATGGGAATGGTGCAGATATGGGTTTCCTATGAAGTGAGTTTGCTGTAGAAAATAAAATTTAAAGAACAAAACCCGCTTATAGGATCGATTGATAAGCTGCTAAATTCAGCCATAATAATTGCTATGGCCTTAGTTGTCTGAAAATGACATTTGGCCTAACACACCTAAATAATGATCACTATCAACCAATATACATATGGCCTTAATAATTGGGTTGTTACATATTTTTTTTTGTAATTTCTACTTTTAATAATTAGATATTTATAATTATTTAACCTCGTGTCACTAACTCAATTATTAATTAATTGATTGATTTCTATAAAATATTATAATTTATTATGTTGTAAAATGTATTTGAGATGTGTTTATTGATATCATATATGATTAAATGAAATTCATATTATTTTTAAAATAAAAACAAATACTTAACACAAAAGGTGTCCAAATTATATTTCTTCTCTTATTTACGTATCTAAACTCTTTTCGATCAATTTAAGTGTCTAACGTTATCAATGTTATCATTTAGGTACCTTAGTTATAACATATGTTAAAAATTATATTATTTGACACATACCACGTTTATAAAAAATTTATTAAAAAAACTTAAAAATATTATTATATATATATTTTAAAAAATATGATTTATCTAAAATTATTATTAAAAAAACCCATATTCTTAATCGTGGTTCTATTTTTTTTATCATCTCTCTTATCTTGTTGTCGACCACTAGGGTGATGGTGGATTTAGGTATTTAGGATGTATAAATTTTAGGAGATTTAAGATTAAAATTAAGGATTTTAATTTTAATTTTCTTCTTGCCATAAACGGAGATTTGGTTGGTGACATCGATGACAACATTGGAGGTCCACTTAAATGGTTGTTCGTTGACAAAAGCGACGGAAAAGATCGACCACCGGCATGGGCAGATTCATGACAAAAATTCAGGGGTTGCACAAAAATATTCTTATAAAATTTTTTAGGGGTTGCACAATATTAAAGGTGATACTTGTATTAATTAGAAAAAATTAAAAAAAAAGTAACACTAAGTAGACAATTTTATTGCACAATTTTTTTCTATAAGAATTTAACTGAATATGGGGATTCTACCTACAAATCACAAAGTTGCCCGGGCTACCCCTGGCAACCCCCTGGGTCCGCCCATGACCACCGGTATAAGTAAAAAGTTTGAAATGAATATTTTTTTTAAATAAAATTATTTTCAATAAAAAATTTAAAATTTTGCAACACATGCTAAATAATATATTTTTTATGGTAATAGACAATACACTTAAATAATAATATTAATAACGCTAAATAATTAAAAGGTAAAGTACACAAATTGTCTCCTGACTATAATATACTACTTTGTTGAGTCCATTGAATATTAAAAATTATAAAATAAGGAATTGCTTTGTTAAATCCCTCGACTATTAAAAGTTACAAAATGGATAATTGACTATTCATAATGTTCTAAACTCATATGTTTCCATTAAAAAATTAAAGACATTCTAAGTTGAACATTAACCTGATGACTAAGATATGATAAAATATGATATGATAATTTCAAACAACTATCATATGCAGGGAAGGATGCATAATTTTATGTTAGAGGGGGCAAACTTATAAAATTTTAAAGGGGAGACGAATTTATAAAATTATAGGGGGTGAAAATAAATTTTTAACAGAAAATACAAAAAAATATCTAAATTATATAAGAATTAAAATTTTTATGGGGGCGACCGCCCCCTCTAGGTCCATTCCTTATCATATCTTAGGTAGTATGGTAACGTCTAACTCAGATGACCGTTAATTTTTTAACGGAAAAGGACGAGTTTAGAATAAAATGAATAGTCGAGTAATCATTTTGTAGCTTTTAATAGCCGAAAGACTCAACAAAGTAACATTCTATAGCCGAATGACAATTTTATAACTTTTAATAGTCGAAAAACTCAATATAGTAGTATACTATAATCGATAGTCCATTTGTATACTTTACCCATAAGTAAATTGAGACAAAAAAATTTAGGCCATCTCCAGCCCTCATCTCTACTCTATAGCATCTATATCTCTACTCTAGAGATTAAACAATAATTCATCTACAACACTATCTCTACATTTCCATCAACTCTACTTTATTCACAATATTTAACTATTATAATATTAATTTTGTAAATTTAAAAAAATAAAAAAAAAAAAATACAAAAAAACAAAAAATTAGTATGATTATTTATCTAATTTCAATGTATTTTTATCTATCTTATAATTTAATAAAAAAAAAACAGATTTTTGTAGCGTTGCTACAGTAGCACGCTACATGTAGCGTTGCAAACCCATATATCTTCAAAGTGGAGATGCATTTAGCGCAACACTAGAGCCTCTACGGTGCATCTTTATCTTCACTCCGGCACAACGTTGGAGATGCTCTTAGGAGAAGGATTAATAATGAAATAAGAAAATCTGATCACAGTGCTATTTATTTGTAGATTATAGTGACTGCATCCCTTTTGCGTCAACTTCCTTCAATATTTTCTTTCTTTTGAATATATGTAAAAAACGAAAGGAATCCAGTCAGTATTGGTGATTTCAGCATTTGACATCCCCCTCGTGTTTTCTCTCTCTTTCAATCAGTGTCACTCTCTGACTTTTAAAACTAAGATGGTTGCACTCAAGACGGTTCATCCACCGATTTCTTGTTCTTCTTCCGGTTCCGTGATTGGACCTTTAGTTCCGGTTCCAAAGATTGGCTTCGTGAAGTTGCCGTTGCATTCTTTGGGGATGAATGGCGGTAAGTTGAGCTTGGTTCAGGCGACTGAGGAGTCTACTGTCGCGATGACGAATGGTCGTGCTGCTGTTGTTTCCAGTACTTATATATATATATATCATAATTTTCATTTGTGATAAATGCTTAAATCTCTATCTCTCTTTTTCTGTGGTCAAGAATTTGGTTCAAACTTCAGAGACGTTCTTATTTTCCCGCATCGGTGGTATTTGATTGAATATACTTCTAATTAAAAGAAAATTGAAAGGCAAAGAAAAAGAACTCTTTGTTTATTTCACTACTTTTGTCCATCTTTTTCTGTCTTATGTGCTTAGAGGAATCTACGACCACCTTAATCTTATCGGCGGTATAAAAGACGGTATTCCTGGGTACTGCCAGATGTGGTAATCTTCTGCTGGCGTGGGTTTATTTTGTTTAACTTCTAATAAAAAGAATTTACTATGGCGGGGAAGGGTTTAATTAGCTGACTTTTGAAGTTTTTTTCAAAACTTAATTGGGTATTACACTTGTAAGCATTGAAATCTTTTTTTACTTTGCACTGATTGGTTCTTGATCTATCCCATTTTATTGTCATAGACAACATAGTTTGCCAACCTAGATGAGAGACTACATTCTAGGTATCTTTGTTTATGGTTTCCTTCTGGTTGGATTTACTTAGGGTTCTAATTTCAAACGTCTAACTAGGTGAAAATCCATCCCAGATGGTTACTAATGGAAAGGCAGGAAACATCGTATGGCACAAAAGTTCAGTTGGTAAAGTTCATCGGCAAGAGTTACTTCAGCAAAGTGGTTGTGCCATATGGATTACGGGTCTCAGTGGCTCAGGTTTGTTATAAGTATTGTATGAGTTTTCACATTATTGCTCATCTTTTGTTGCTATGAGCTTATTTGTTGTTTACTGCTACCTAAGACCATATAAGATGGGTGTATGAGCTTATGGTGTGCTTTAGTACTCTCATGTGCTAAAACAACAACGAAAATGTTGCCAAAAATTGAACCACTGGTCTTTCAGGAACTTATAAATTCAAAACCAGGAACTTAGATCAACAGAACTGACATTTCAGAGGGCTTTCTTTGTAGTCATATTTGATTCTGTTATGCCGTTATGTTGCTCTATCTGTTTCTCACCGAGGTCTATGAATTTAGGGAAGAGCACTTTGGCATGTGCTCTGTGCCAATCCTTGTATTCTAGAGGAAAGTTGAGTTACATCCTTGATGGTGATAATGTTCGACATGGGTTAAACCGCGACCTTATTTTTAAAGCTGAAGATCGTGCAGAAAACATACGAAGGATTGGTAAATGCTGATCGATTTCTCATTCATAGTCCTTTTTTGCTTTATCCTTTTGTTCTCTTCTTCTGGCGGTTTCTACATCCTATTTGTTATGTTTCACAAACAGGAGAGGTAGCAAAGCTCTTTGTTGATGCTGGCGTCATCTGCATTGCCAGTGTGATATATATTATGCATTAGATTGTCAGCATCGGTGTCCTTTGTTAGGCCTCATTAATGCCTTGTAATGGGGGATGGATTGAGTGGCAAGTTATTGGTGTATCGATTTGTATCATTAGCGAATTTTTAGCAGGAAGCAATCCGACCAGTTATCGAATCAAGCGTTCAAGCTGCAACATTTGTGAGATTTCGACCTCTACCTAATGCACCCGAAAAGGAACATTTCGATAACCTCAGGGAACTGTTCAAAGAGTTTTTAAAATTCTTCCCCGCTAGACTAAGAATTTCGGGTAACCAAAACAGTGTTGGAAGGACTGATTTAATTCAACCATGAATTAAATCAAATCCCATGATTTTAGCCTAAAGTCTCTCGTGTAATCTAAGTCAAAAGGCATAGCTTTGTATAAAGATAATTATATTCTATTTGGATAAACTACTCTATGGGTCATTAAATTGTAGGGTTTGATCACTGAATAATTGTTTATGTTAATTAAGTCACTAGACTTTCATTTTATTATCAATCAAACCACCTACCCATAATTAATTAATGGAATTGCTGACACGATAGTTTTAAATTTTGTAATAATAACAAATTTAGTTCTCCATATTTACACATTCAATTAATTTAGTATTGATTTGAAAATAATTCAATAAATTTAAATCTTAATATTACAAATTATTTTAATTTGATCCTCATTTTAATCATAAATAACTTTATAAATTTAACTCTCTAATAAGATGGTGTATATATATATTAAAAATGTATATTCATTAATATTTGAAAAACATAATTCATCAATTAGAATATCAAAATTTATTTTACAAATTATTTTCAAAGGTTTGAAATGACTATGACTCTTAGTAATCCATGAGAGAGAGAACGCGACTTATGACCATAACACAAAATATATCATCACACTAAATCTTCACAATGATTGCAGTCCAGGTTAAATATTCAGAAATCTATAAACTAAATTTAGAATGTACACTTTATTATAATGTAGAAGGCCCTGCTGTCCCCCTCCCCCACCATCAATTCAAGAAGCTCAACTTATTCCTTGGGGACATGTTTAAAAATTATATATAAAAAGTTCTTATCATCTGTTGCTACACATAATGAACTGCCCTGCTTATCTATCTACTTATCCATTGCCTCTTTTGCATGTCGTTATCTCATTCTAGAGGATAAAATGTTAATATAAAGATTTAATGGATATCTCAATAGTCATTGCCTCTTTAATCCTACATATTCGATTTGTGGTGTTATTGCAACAGATAGGCATGTGCCTGGGGTTGGTATTTACACTCCCAATAATGGTTCACCCTATTTGTGAAAATCATGGAAGGGAAGTTGAAGAGAAAAATGGTTTCAGAAGCTTCACAACAATGAAGCTGAAAGTTCGAATACGGGATTAGAAAAGTTCGGAATATACTTCGGTAGAACAGTTCCGGTAATCGGTTTGCTGGTGTTGGTGTCATTCGTCCCCGATTTTGGTGTTTTTGTCTGGCTCGTTGGTAGTGGTGTCAACCACTTTTGCCAAAGGAATAGGTTCCACCATTTTCATACTTCCATTTTGCTTTCGAATGTAATATCAATGAACAATGATTGAGTTTTTTTTTTATTCTGTTTTTCTGTAAAAAAAAAGTAGCAGAATTCTACAAGTAGCATGCCAGAAACTCACCTAAAACATTGAAAATTTCCAGCAGCATCCAAATTTTGACCAACTGGCTAAATTCTACTATCATCAACAACACTTCTTTCATTTGGAAGTGCCAAGTCATTCTCCTTGGAGGTAACAAAATCATTGTGATTGGACATTGAAATCATTGCAAGAACAGCAGCGTGTATTTTGAAAAGAGATGCCATTGCAAAAAGGCAAAGGCGTCTTCCATGATTGAATTATTTATATGTTGGTATATATATTTTTCAGGTTAGGGACATTTTGGACTGTTTTGCTCTCCCCACTCAACCGAGCATGGGGCATCCACTTCAGGAGGAAAGCGACCTTTTTTGGCAAAGTGAAAGGCAAAGCGGGACATTGATTCTCATTCCTTCTTTTTTTACAATACAAACAGATGGATCAAAAAGATTAAAACATACAAAAAAACAAAACATCAAGTTCCTTTCACCAACAATGTCATCACAAAACTCCCTTTTTTTTGGTTCATTTATGGCCATATGTTGATTATTTTTCAAGATATATCACTGAAACAAAGATATTCATGTGGGAAACTTTTCTCTCTATGCATGTTTTTTTATTAATTTGAGTTAAGTACAAGTTGCTTACATCTTTAATATTTATAATTTACGAATTTAAAATTTAAGAAATAATAATAATTCATTTACTATTAAGATCGATTGATTAGTGTACATCTATGTATCACCTACGAATTTATTAATTATCTCACTTTTCCATAGCTGCAAATCAACAAACAAAATATCATGAACGGATGACGAATAACAAACGACAAATACAATAGACAAAAGGAGAGGTGTCGTGAACTCAGCTTTGTGACTCTCGTGGAGAGGAGAAGATTTTATTAATTTTTTTTATTAAAAATAATTGAATACATACCCTATGTTAAATATTTATTAGATGATAGTTTTTACGTATATTAACAGTTTTAGTTTAAAATAATAATAAAATAAAAGGTTATTATTTGTAAAAAAAATAAATACTTAAAATGAAAAATATAATTTATTAAAATTTTATTTTTTATTTTAATTAATGTCCTATTTATAGTTTTAAATTTTTTAATTCATTTCTCTTTCATCTCATTTGTTGGGAAATAAACGAGTAACAAGTAATTTCCCTATAGCCAGATTAGTGAGAATACGAAATAAAAGCGGAAAAATAATACCCGAAAAATTGATAACGGAGTTCAGCCAATTGTCCTTACGTCTCCGGACTGCTGCAGATCTTTTACTAAAGAGAAAAAATTACAGGTGTTTACAAAACACACTTGAGAGAGAACTGGAAGATTTTGGGATGATTTTGAAGCTAAGTGAGCTAGGGTATTTATAGTTGAAGCTTAGGGACTAATCTTTGAAAATACCCTAAAGTTCAATGACTAATTTTGAGATATACCCTTCTCACTTTCAAATATAGCTGCACCGAAAATTGAAAATTTTCTGTGCATTTAATTTGCACTTTCGGCAGCCCCCTTTTCTATGACTTTGCAGCCTCTTTCTTTACACAGGCGTTGCCCACCTCTTTGACTTTTCTTCCAACAATCTCCCACTTGAAGATTGATTTTAATCTGTCTTCACACCTTGATCAATGCAGCAGCATTTCTGGTCTTGTTATTCTAGCATGCCAACTGAAGCTGAACACAACTTCAGTTTGTCCGTAGTCACCGTCTTTGTCAACATGTCTGCCGGATTTTGAGCTCCACTAATCTTTTCAAGTTTCAAAATCCCATCTTCCAAAAGAGACCGGATAAAATGATATCTCAATTGTATATGCTTCATTCTGGAATGAAAAGACGGATTCTTCGCTAGATGAATAGCACTTTGACTGTCGCAATACAAGACATTTTTTTTCTTGTTTCTTGCCTAACTCTTCCAAGAAACTTTGGAGCCAAACCACCTCCTTGCTGGCTTCCGTAATAGCGACATATTCTGCTTCAGTTGTGGAGAGAGCAACTATCTTCTGTAGTTGAGAAACCCAACTCACTGCGGTTCCTCATAGAGTATAGATATACCCTGTAGTGCTTCTTCTGATGTCAATATTTCTGGCTAAGTCAGCATCTACATAGCCTGTCAGTATCGTATCTCCACCTTTGAAACAAAGTGCTTTATTTGTAGTACCCCGCAGATATCTGAGGATCCATTTGACTGCTTCCCAGTGTACTTTACCCGGATTATTCATATACCTGCTAATAGCTCCCACTGCATGAGCAATGTCTGGTCTAGTACAAACTATGGCATACATCAGACTTCCAATTGCTGAGGCATACGGCACTTTCACCATGTGTGCACGTTCTTCCTCCGTCTTTGGTGACTGTTCTTTGGAGAGTCTGAAATGAACACCTAAAGATGTACTTACTGATTTAGCATCTTGCATGTTGAACCTGGAGAGTACTTTGTTGATGTACTCAGCTTGTGATAACATCAAAGTCTCCGACTTTGTGTCTCTCTTGATCCTCATCCCAAGAATCTGCTTTGCAGCGCCCAGATCTTTCATAGCAAACTGCTTCGACAATTCTTGCTTCAAGTGTATAATCTCTTGCATGTCTGAGCCTGCAACGAGCATGTCATCAACGTATAATAATAAAATAATGAAGTTGTTGTCGAACCTCTTGATGTAGCAACAATGGTCTACTTGACATCTGGTAAACCCACTGCTACTCATGAAGCTATCGAACTTCTTGTACCACTGTCTAGGAGCTTGTTTTAAACCATACAAGCTCTTCTTCAACCTGCATACTAGGTTTTTCTTGCCTGCCTCTATGAAGCCTTCTGGCTGCCTCATATAGATTTCTTCCTCCAAATCACCATGAAGGAAAGCTGTCTTTACATCTAACTGCTCAAGAAGTAAATTCTCTGCAGCTACAATTTTCAATACCAGTCTGATTGTAGACAGTTTCGCGACTGGAGAGAAAATTTCATTGTAGTCAATACCTTCTTTTTATTGAAAACCTTTGACAACGAATCTCGCTTTGTAGCGTTTGCTCCCATCATGCTCTTCATTGATCTTGTAAATCCACTTGTTGTGGAGCACTTTCTTGCCTGGTGGTAATTCAGCTAATTCCCACGTCTGATTTTACATAAGTGAGTCCATCTTATCTTTCATGGAAGACTCCCACTTGACTGAATCCTCCACTTGCATTGCTTCATCATAGCACTCTAGTTCACCATTGTCAGTCAGCAACAAGTAGTGCAAAGAAGGAGAATACCGTTGGGTTGGTTTAGGAATTCTGGAGGAGCGTCTTAGTTCTGGTGTGTGTGGTTCTTCTTGAACTGCTTCAGGACTGATCTGAACATCATTTCCAGAAATCTCCTCGAACTCAGCAAATTCATTTGTTTCGGCTTTGGTATTTGAACTGCTTGATTCTACAGTTGACCTGTCTTTGTACATCACATTCTCATTAAAAATGAC